GAGCGACATCCTGGGCCGACAAAAACCCGAAACAAATGTCTTCTGGATACGCTCGCCATAATTCCCTTCCATACCATAAGAACGCACAGTACTGACAAAATAAAGGATGTCACGAAGCCAAGGCCACCTGCAATTCCGTCTCATATGTGTGCAGCCCTTCCCAACACCCCTCAGCATGACCCTTTGTTAGTACAGGTGGGAATGGAGCCAAGTCAATTCCCACCGCTTACATACCCGGAAGAAGCCAACTACCTGTTCCCACTGTTTCTGCAATTTTTGCAGATGACTCGGCTAGCCAACTACCATGCCAACCGCAAATTAGACTTGCTCCCTCAACCCCCTCAATGTCCCCAGCAATAGCCGCAAGCACAAATGATATATCACCAATAACACCAAGCCTGCTAAGAATAGGCTCGATTTCACTACCCCCACTCATATCTCCTTCGTCCATAGTACCTGACTACAACAAGGCGTAGAAAGACGAACCGCATCACGATGACCCCACACGCAATAGTTCATTTTCTGTACTTCTACTCAGTGCCAGATCTGTTAACAACCAATTGTACTTCCTAGGCATGCTCGCGCATATCAACGATCACAAGCAATCTTCGTTACTGAAACCTGGTGCTCCCCCGATACATTAGACTCTATCTTAATGATTCCTAATTATCAGCTCTTCCCAAAAGATCGTGGAATAGGCCAAGGAAGTGGATGCATGAGATACCTACACCGTACATTTGCAGAACTTCTTGATCATCCACAGCTAACAAACGTTCCCGAATCTCTTTGATTGTCCGTATCAGGAACCGGTTCTCACATTCTACTCGGATGTGTTTACAACCCGCCAACTGCAAGTCTTACCATCACCACTTCAGCTCTCGAGTTTGCTGCTGAGATGCCACACTGACAGAAGATAATTGCTGGTAATTTTAATTTACTAAAGATTAACTGGTCCTATCAACCATCCTCGTCTACACCTACAGCTTTCCTTGCCTCTCTCAGAATTGGTGGATGGATACAGTGGGTTACTAAGCCAACAAGAGTGACCAGTGTACTCGACCTGATATTCACTTTGGGGGTCAGAAATGCACAAACAGAGATATTAGACAAACTCTCTGGTAGTGAGCACAAGATGGTAAGACTAACGTTCTGCGTTAAATAGGCCACCAAACACGTCTTTATTCCGCAATATGTAACACATAGGATAAACTGGAAGCAGTTCCAACAATTTATCCGATCAGCCGATTGGGACGCATTTCTCCTCTCTAACAATGTGTGCAATGCCGTGGACTATTTACCATCGGGTCCATCGGGCCATTGCTGTCCTTACCTCCGAAGATAAGTGGTGTGTTCAGTCAGCCGGAAACACAGAAGACTAACTGCTGGATATGGAAAGACGGGAAATTTCACCTTGCTATTACAGTCGCACAGCATCATTGACAGGATCAAGCACATACAGTCGATGAAGAGGATACACGAAGAACAAATGGCTCTACGAACGACATGTGAAACGAAAGAACTTGTAGAAATTCTGCGTCGCAGAACTAATTACCACTCCCCTTGATCGATGGACTGGTTAATGCAGATGGACAGTGCTTACATGATTCAGCCGACATCTGCGAAGCATTTAGCGCATCTTTCGCTATCTCCATGAGCCTGGAGACGACCCGTTGAATGCATGCATTGGGATGCAAACAACAAACGCCCTGTGTAACACTGAATTTTCTAGCATTGTTATCCAACAATTAATGAATTCTACTAAACCGTCTTCCCATCTAGATTCCGATGGTATCCCACCTGCCGTCATTAAACTGGGAGGTCCTGACATGCCGTTACTATTGCTGAAGATGTTTTCCCTTTCGTTGGAATCAAGCAACTTTACAGGCCACTGGAAAACATCGCTCATCATCCTCCGTCACAAGGGTGGCTCCAAACAAGAAATGAACAGTTACCGGCCAATCCATCACACCCCCTGTAGTATCCAGTATATTAGAGAATCTAGTTAAGATTGGTGTGATGAAATGTGTCCATTCGCAGGAGCTAATAGACAGGTTATAGCATGGTTTCTTGGACAAACGATCATGCATAACATTCCAATTCCATTATCTAACCCAGGATACGCAATGATACATTTGTTACTGGTCATGGAAAAGGCATTCGATCGAGTGCCCCATAAACGGCTGCTGAAAAAGATTGCTTCCTTTGGAATTCAGGACCCACTCCTACGCTGGCTATTGTCATACCTGAGCGGCCGTTCTTAGGTCGTTACCATAGCCGAGCACCACTCTTCACTACGTCCAATCACTGGTGGTCTTATTCAGGGGAGTGTACTTGGTGCGTTACTGTTCTTGCTCGACGTCAATGATATCAGTGCGGTTATCAGACAAGGCCTGCCTTTCCTATTTGCAGATGACATAAAGA